TTAACCTTGGTCACCTGCCTGATGTTTAGGTTTTCCACTGTAAAGTAACTGTTTCTCCCCCTTTCATACTGTACTCTTTGTACTCTTCACTATGTAAAGCCCACACTTATGGAGCAGGGAGTTAATGCTCCATCTTCTTGAGGGCAGAGTATCTGTATAAATTATTTGGAATTTTCCAGCACAAATTTCTTCCCTCCTCTCCGTTCCCCTCCCCTCCGTTCCCCTCCTCTCCTCTCCCCTCCCCTTCTCCTTCCTTCCTTCCTTCCTTCCTTCCTTCCTTCCTTCCTTCCTTCCTTCCTTCCTTCCTTCCTTCCTGTCACTTGTTTCACTATGGACTCATGAATTTTTGTACTTTGGATTATAATCCAGTACTACTTTATTTTATTACTCGAATTGTTCCAGCGTTGGCCATTTGAGCTCTTTCCATTGACTCCTGTGTCCCTTTGACATACTCTACTATTGTGGGTTTTTTTGAGCACTTCCTTACTTACTGGTACTATGAGATGCTCCATGTTATTCATTCCTGCCCCAGGCTAGAATCAGCCATTTCTCCAAGGAGCCCTAGTTCATTTTATTGGAAAATGGCTTTAGAAACTAAGATCTGGGTGCAGGTGTGGCCATTATCTTTGCTTCTGCTCCATTTGCTTTCTGCCCTCCTATTTAGACTCCAGTTATATATATGTAGATCTTTTTGCTGTATTGCTTATGTCTTGTATGCCCTTGACTAAATTTTTATTTTTTCTTCCTGTGCTTCAGTTTGGATGTTTTTCTATTGACCTATCTTCCAGTTGACCAACTTTCTTTTTTGTTGTGTCTAATCTGCTGTTAAACCCATCTACTGACTTTGTAATTTCAGTTATATTTTTCAGATCCAGAGTTTCCATTTAATTATTTTTTATAGATTCCAATTTTCTAGTAAAATTCTTTATTTTTAATCTATGTTCTCTATCCTCTTCTCCCTTTTTAAATTTTGGTCATAGTAGTTATGTTAAAGTTGTTTTCTGCTTACTCTACTATCTGGATCATGTGTGAGTCTGTTTCCATTCTTTTTTTTTTTCCTTGATAATCCTTCATATGACTCTGTCTCTTGACATGCCAAGTTTGAATCCTGGATATTGTGTTAAAAAATTGTAAAACCTCCAGATAATATCACTTTTTTCCAGAGAGGGTTGCTATTTGGGTAGAGTATGGGCTGATTACCTTAATCCAATCAGATACTGAGCTGAGTTGAAGTTGGGTTGTAGTTTTGTTTTTGTTTTTAAAGATTTTATTGGGGAATTGGGGGAGGGGCACAGCGTTGGGAATTGGGGAAGGGGAACAGACAAGCTGCTGTTCTTTTGTTCTTCAGTCTAGTTGTGGAGGATGTCACTTCACTGGCCCATGTTGGTATTATCATTGCACTTTCTCGGGTGAGACAGTCATTCCCCATCCATTGGTCGGCCACTCACGAAAGCTCACGCCCGCTGCCAGCCAGCGCCATTGATGGAGACACCATCTTAGCTGTAGAGGGCGCTGCATCACTCGCCCTCCTGTGGGATCTGAACTGGGCCCTGCTGCTCAGAGCTGGCATCCCAAGCCAACTCCTAACCAACGCACCACTCGGCTGGCCCTGTGTTGCAGTTTTGATAAGGCTCTTTCTATCTTCAGTTCACCTTTTTTTTTCTTGAATGTAGTCCTCGAGATCTTTCAAACAAAAACCTGAAGTGTTCATTGGAATTCCCCGCCCCCCGCCCCATCCCCAGCAAGTATTGACTTTTAGTCCTTGTTTCCTCAGCATAAAACTACCCTCATTTCGGAGTCTTTTTCCTTAATGTATTAGTTTCCTACTGCTGCTGTAACAAATTACAAACCAAGTGGCTTAAAATACCACACATATAATTTTACAGTTCTGGAGATTATAAATCCAAAATGGATTTCATTGAGCTAAAATCAAGGTATTGGCAGGACTGTATTCCTTCTGGAGGCTCTAGGGGAGAATCCATTACCTTGCTTTGTCCAGCTTCTAGAAGCTGCTTGCATTCTTTAGCTTATAAATCTTTCCTCCATCTGCAAAAACAGCAGCATATATCTTCAAATCTCTCTCTGACTCTGAACTACCTGTCTCCTTCTTTCTTTTGTAAGGATCCTGTGATTACATTGAACCCACGTGGGTAATGCAGGATAATCTCCCCATCCCAAAATCCTTAACTTAATCATATATCTGTAAAACCCCTTTTCCATGTAATATAACATATTCACAGGTTCTGGGGTTTAGTACATAGACATATTTGGTGGTGGTGGTGGGGGGGAATTATTTTGCCTGCCACACTTAGTTTTTTATGTTCCTGCTTACACAGTTTCAGAATTCAGCACATGTCTTGAGGAGAAACCTACCATGTAACATTAAGGCTCAGTTCTGCTCTCTTCTCTTGTTTTTTATAGGGACTGTGGTCCTTCAAGTCTCCAATTTTAATCTCCCTAGCACTGCTGGTTTATTTTTCCCTCAGTAATTGGTCCGCTACCTGGGCAAAACCCAGATTCTCAGCTGCTAGCTCTGTGCCCAGAGTCGGCAAATGCCCCAGGGAGAACTCTGCTGCAGAATATCAGTTTGCTTTTTTGCAGTTCACCTCTCTGGAATTTTGGCTCCCCTAGTCCTATTTGCTTCAGCTGTTCTCTGATTCATTTTTTCCAGTTTTCCTAATTGATCTTGGTGGGAGCACTGACCTGCTACAAACTGTTTCATCATATTTCTTCTAAGTCCTTTTGACACAACTTTATAAATATATATAACTATATATATTTAAATATAGCATTCTTTTTGATATAGCCCAGAGTTTTGATATGACTAGATGTTTCAGGTTTATCTTGTACATTTCCAGCCTGAGACCTGGAATTGGCCATTTGTCCAAGGAGCTCTGGTTCTTTTTATTGGGAAATGGTATAAAGAGTCATCTATCATTTGCAACTAGTACTCTGCTCACATATGATCCTCAACAAATATTTGTTCAATAAATTTTTATATTTATGTCTTCATTTGGTTCTACTCATCTTAACTACTATTTCTTTCTTGAAGTCTTCTTTGGCTTTTTCTCCTAAATTCTCTAAATCTCTGTAGCACTTCTACAGATTAAAATATTTTGCAACTTGGACTTAGAGGCTGGGACTAGATAGATATTACAATCCCTTTTAATTTTTTTAAAAAAGATTTTATTGGGGAATTGGGAGAGGGGAACAGCATTGGGGAATCGGGGAAGGGGAACAGACAAGTTGCTGTCCTTTTTGTTCTTTAGTCTAGTTGTGGAGGATGTCGCTTCACTGGCCCATGTTGGTATTATCATTGTGCTCTTCCTGGCTGAGGCAGTTGCTTGCCGGCCATTGAACAGTTGCTTATGGCGGCACACGGCAGCTCACAAAAGCACACGCCAGCTGCCGGCCAGCCCCACTGCAGCCCACGCTGTCACTGGCTCCGGCTCACGGCAGCCCAGCTCCAGGTCGAGCTGTTTTTCACCATCTTAGCTGTAGAGGGCACAGCATCACTCGCCCTCATGTGGGATCCAAACTGGGGCCCTGCTGCTCAGAGCTGGCGTCCCAAGCCGAACTCTTAACCAACACGCCACTCGGCCGGCCCCAATCCCTTTTAGTTTTATTAACCTATAAATTAGCACCAGTTATACATTATCTTATTCTTTTGATGTGTGTTAATTTTTTTACCTAATTAAACTGAGATTTGAGGATAAAGCCAGATTTTACTCTGTCTGGACATATGGTAGTTACTAAATAAATATGTGTTGATTGACCAATTAAGTAGATTGATTTTGTTACATATTGTTACTGTTGCAGCTTGGAAATAGGTGGAACTTTTTGATTTAAGAATGTGTAAAATATTAGGCTAGGGGGAGCTCTTCTATGTAAAAAAAAAAAAAAGCTCTCAAAAACGAACCAATATAATACGGTATATGTATATCTTTCATTATAGACTTGAAGCTAAATTGCCTAGGTTCAAAGTGAAGCTTTATCACTCAATATTTAAATGACCTTGGACAAGTTTACTTAATTTCTCTGATCCTCAGTTTTCATGTTTATTAAATGGGTATAATAATAGTACCTACCTTATAGGATTAAGTGAGTTAATACATGTAAAGCATTTAAGCCAGAAGCTGGCACAAAGTAAGCACTCAATAAGTTATCAATGAATCATATACATACATTTAATAAAAAATGTAAAACATTTGTAAATACTTTTTTTATTTAATGTTATATTGTGAACTTTTCATGTTCTTGAAGATTTTTTTTGTAAAAAATATCTTTAATGGCTGTATAGAAGTTCACTGCCTACAAATACCCTAATTTCATTAACCAATCTAATACTACTAGGCATTCAAATTGCTCATATATTTTAATTGGCTTTTATTTTGACTAACATTTTTTCTTACCCAAGAACTGGGGAGAGGAGAATGGCCACACTCATTGAGATTTTAGAAGTAGCATAGCATCCTGTAGAGAGAATACTGAATTTAGAATTAGTTAGAAGATTGAATTCTAGTTCATAGGTTGCCCCTTTCTTTTCTAGGTTGGAATAAATAATCTGTTGGATCCTCTCCAGAATTACCTTCTCATATTATTGTGCGGACTTAAGTCCATTGTAGTAATAATTCTTAGGTATTATTTCCTCTAAAAGCCATACACAAATATCTTAACTGAATTAATCTATATAACCAAGCTTCCCACCCAGAGTACCAAAGACTTCAAGGTAGTGACCCTTTTAGCCATTAGGCATCTAGTCAAAGCCTGGGACTGCTAGATTCCTGGGCTGGTCACCCCCAACTTCAAGTAGCCTAATCTATGACTTCAGACTCTTCTAGTTTACCCAGTATACTGCTGTACAAATAGGATTTTCTGTGTGTCAACCTGTGAAAGTACTAATCTAAAAGAATGTGTCAAGGAAAACTTTTGCTGCTGGCAGAGATGTAGTTCAGATACTTGCTATTTGTTGGTAATTCTCCATTCTTTGACTTTTTTAGCATGGCTGCTCGCTGTTTCTGGGATGCTGACACTGACAACTACATCCATGATGTTTTCATGAATGTAAGTCTATTTGGAAACCTTTTCCTTCTTTCAAAAGACACAGGGGCATTTCAAACAAAATTACTTAATACTTATTAAGATGATTAGTTTTAGACATTTATCTTAGACTCCTTCTGGATGAGATGATTTTACTGTTCTTTTTTGTGTTACTAAAGCAGAAACCTAGTGTGCTGCTTATAGGCAAGGAAACTTGTTTGTATACAGGTGAAGTAACTCTTCACAAGTTTGAATGTGGGAATAGCATATTGTTAATTTAGTGCTAATAGACACATAGCACTTTACTAAGCTGCAAAGAAATTTGAGTGGCAGGGGTCCCATGAACAAAGGTGATTTTCTTTCAGTAATAAAATTGTCTTAGAGCTATTTCTGATAACTAAGGAAAAACAAAGAGGAATTTTTAGAAAGAGGTTTCATTTAGGGTGGCCGGTTAGCTTAGGTGGTTAGAACGCAGGCTCATAACACCAAGGTTGCCTGTTTAATTCCCACATGGGCCAAGGAGCTGCGCCCTCCACAACTAGATTGAAGACAACTACTTGACTTGGAGCTGATCGGTCCTGGAAAAGCACACTGTTCCTCAATAAAATTTATTTATTTTTTAACAAAAAAGAGGTCTCATTTAAACATTGGGAAGTTATTGGCATGAATGTTTTATATATTTTATATTTGCTTCCAGGAATTATCCCCTCCTCTATCCAAATGCTCCCAGGTTGTAAATTAGTAGAGTCAGAATTAAGTATAGTAATGTAGAACGGAAACTGAATTGAGTGAACTAGGAGAAAAGTCCCATTTCCAGCTCTTTAATTTTTTTTTTTAATTATTATTATTTTTTATTGTTAGTTTCAGGTGTACAGAACAATACACTAGTTACCCTTTTCACCCTCACCAGGTAACAACCCCCCTCCCCCCATCTATTGCCCTCCCACCCCGATATCATGCTTATCTATTACAATTCCATTGAATCCATTCCCGCTTTCTACTCCATGTCCCGAGACTATATGTATATATATAACTATAGTTGACATACAGTATTATTCAACATCAGTTTCAGAAATACAATGCGGTGGTCAGGCCTCTACATCGACTATGAAGTGGACTCCCCAAAAGGACATGGGTCCATCTGGCCCCCTAAGAAATACTTACAACATTATTGATTATATTCCTCGGACTCTTTTTCTATCCCTGCGGCCATATTACAATTACCCATTTGTATTGTCTCATCCCTTCCCCTTCTCCTTCATCCCCACCCACTCCCGACTAGCAACCCTCAGTTCTTCCTCTGTGTCTCTGAGACTATCTCCATCCACTTCTCCCATCCATTCAGTTCCTTAGAATCCACGAATAAGTGAGATCATATGATATTTGTCTTTCTCTGACTGACTTATTTCACTTAGCATAATGTTCTCTAGTTCCATCCATATTGTTGCAAAGGGTACTATTTCCTTCTTCTTTATACCAGCTCTTTAATTTTCTAATTGAATGACTTTAGTAAGTCATTGGACTTTTCTCTGATTGTGTCAGTACTAGAAACATTAGGAAACTGTACTAGATTTTCCCAAACACTGGCTGTGGCTGCCTAAGAATGATTTGAGGAACTTGTTTAAAACACAGATGCCAGGGCCTTACTCAAGTAGATTCTCATCAAATTAGCCAGGGGTTGGATCAGTGAATCTGAATTTAAAAAACAATTTCATCACACGATTATGCTTACTGCCAGTTTTGGAAGCTGCTTGTATAGATGATATTAAGGTACCTTTTAGCTTTAAAACGCTATGGTCCTACCAAAGTTTCATTGTATGCTCGAGGGCTGAACAATGGGAAGTATTATGTAAATCTTAATTTATAAACTCTCAGGGGTAAGGGTCAAGCTATGGTGATGATTTTTCCTGCTTGTTGGAGTTAAACATGTATATTTCCCTGAGTCTTTATTTACAATTCATTCATTCAACAGATAATTCTGAGCTCCTATTATGTGCCAACCTCTGTATTGGAGGTGCTAGGAATAAAACGAATAACACAGGCATGATTTTTGTCTCTAGAGAGAGTTTATAAACCAGTAGGGGCCAGATAATACTTAAATTAACAAATATGTAATATAAAACTTTAGTTATCAATTATTACTTAAAAATTTCAGGATTGGATTTTAGAACACAGGATTGGTGGGGGAGGTTTCTAAAAATCATTTTTGAGAGCCTGGTCCAGGTTGCTGAGTTAGTCTACTGTATCTTTAGTCCAGTTGGTTGAGTTGAATGTTTATTTAGGTTGTCATTTTCAGAACTTAAAGCACTTTACTATTTGGGAGAAGATCCAAGAAACACCCATAAAGGATAAGGAAATAAGAAAGGGGGAGAAAGGCATACGCTATTGAGCTGATAATTGCTGTGGATAACCGGGCTCAGTCCCACTAGAGAATAGCACCAATCAAAATGGGGTCCATAGACCAGTGCTGTGAACCATTTGTTACAGGACCTCCAGGAGAGAAGTACATAAATTGAGTGTAAGGGTTTAGAAACTCTTATAGGAATTTGACAAAGTAATTTTATGTCCATTGAATCTAATAATAAAAGGTTTAGGCTATAACTTGTATGTTTCTTTTTAATTTCATTTTCCTAGTTATTTTTATTGTATTTTACAAAAGCATCGGTGCATGAAGGATTGGAAATTAGAACAAAAACAAAAACAGGTCCCTCACCACAGACAGCATTGTTATAGAACACAGCTCACAGTTATCCCATCCAAGGAGCCAGGGAACTGGGCTAACCAAAAAATTTTGCTTTTGGTTAATAATCAGCTACTTGAGTTCAGATTTTCTCCTATCACTGTCAGGCTGGAGGTGAGGTTGGTGGGTCAGGAGTTGCTCAGGCAGGTGGAATTCCTGTAAGAAGTACCTAAAAAGTGTTTTAACAAGTTTAACTGGGATCTGGAAAACATTTTGGGATATGAGCTAAAAGATGGACAAATGAATTTTATAAATTAAGAACAAAAATCCAGAGACCATTTCCCCTTACCCAGAATTTATGACAAGGTGCTGTTATTTTTATTATCTGTGATACTATAATATAGTTCTTTGGGTTGGGTAATGCGTTTACTCCAAGAAACTCAAAACATTTCATATATTATTTCTTTGATAAATCAGGAAAAATAGGAATACTTTTTTATGAAAATGGATTACATAAAGTTCATTAGTTTGCATTTTATTTCTACATTCAGAAAATTTATTTCTTACATTCTGGATTTGTGTATGTGTGTTTTCTGTTTTGTTTGTTTTTTAGGACAGTTTGTTCTGTGTTGTAGCAGCATTTGGCTGTTTCTACTATTGAATCTTTGAAAGCTGGGAAAAGATATGATCATGAAGAAATATGAGCAACTTTTTTATATTGTTAAATATCTTGACAAAATAAAGATAAATTGGCAGTTTGGTAACCGAGTCTGTTGAGTTTTAGGCCTTATATTTTAATGTTTGATTTAATGTTATGGTATGTTCTTATTACGTTTGGAAAGTAGAGAAAAAAGTAGGGGAAAATCCTTTATTAAATTGTTCTACATAACTGTAAATGTTTTGGTATATTTTCTACCCGTGTTTTTTTATTTGCAGGGTTTAAAAATAATCATATATACAATTTTGTAACCTGATTTTTCACTTCTTACAATGTCATGTGCAGTTTTAATGTCATTTTATTTGCATTATGATTTTTATAAGCATAATTTAATAATTGCATTTACTCCATTAGGTTATACCATTGGTTATTTTTTGCCATGTCCTTATTGAGGGACTGATTATTTCTAATTTTTTACTATTATACATAACACTGAGATGAATTTATTTGTGCATAAAGTTTTTTTTCCTACATTTTGATTTGTTGCCTTTATCTCACATTGTTTTTGCTCAGCTCTTGCCACCCTACAGCTTACACAGTTTATTAGCTTAAACACACATCTGATTTTTCCAGGGTTTGTCCAGTGTCAGAGTTTGTGACAAGGTGTGAGAGTTTCCAAGCTGTGTATGAAATCAGCCTCCCTATTATGTTGTTACTATCCCAATTCCCACTGTCTTTGTAATGATGTTCTCCTTAAAGTCCCTGGTGTCTTCTCCAGCTAGCTCTCCTCATTTGGAGCACCGTAGTCTATGAGCTGACAAGGAGAAAATTCTGAAATGTTCAAAATTAAATTATAGCAGCTGGAGAGTGAAAGAGACAGAACAGGTAGCCTGTTAATAGCTGTGGACTAGCTAACAAACGACTGACTACTCATATTCATATGTGTCTGTTGGAACTTCAGATTAATTTCCAGGTGGCTATTTCTGTGATTATCCAAAAAGAGAATAGCCAGCACCTTTGATTCCCCCAGGAGCCACCCACTTCTTGTTTGTGCATGAACTTTCTGGACTGTTGCCCACCTGTCCAAAGGAACGGACACTTCCTCCTTGTGGGCTCTGTGCTTATCCCCAGAGCTGGCCCTGTTTCATCTTCTCCCACACCCCTTTGCCTATAGCTAATGTGAAAATTATTTCAGATGGCTTACACCCCCCCACACACACACATACACCCACTTGATGTATAAAAAAAATGATTGCAAACTCCAGGGGAACAGAAATTGTATGTCTTTTCCACTTAGCCATGGTGCTTGGTGGTTTGGACTTCATGCCCCAGGACTGGTCTTCTTTTGGGTTAGCATTTTTGGCTCAATAAAACCTTTATTAAGAAAAAAAAAAAAGACTTTCAGCTGTGGAAGTTAAATTTTTGTTTAACAGAGCCATGTTCAAATAACTATTTGAAACTCAAAAGGGAGTCACAGTTTAAATCATTTTTCCCCCTGGAGGCTTCTCATGCATAAGTTTCCCTACCCTTTTCAAGTCAAGCATGTAGACAAAAATAAAAATGAATAACAATAAGAAGAAAATACATTACAAAGTTCTTTTACGTACTTCTTCCATAACATTGGGTATCTACTTGCCTTACATCAGTCGACTCGAAAAGAGACCCCTCCAAAGGTTCATTCTAGCAAAAATTTCTCTTCACTAGACACCCTGCCGTGTGATTTCCTACCAGTGGTCTCTCTTGAATCTGCTTGCTGACCTAAGAAATATTAAACCCATAGAGAATTTTTTATGAGTTTATTTGAGCCAAATTGATGACACATGCTGGGGAGCAAGATCTCAAATGCTCCCCAGAATAACAGTTTGCAGTTTCTTTTATGCATTTGAGATTAAGGAGGGAACGAATGTAAGGAAGATTACTTGAATGTGGGAGAAAGCAAGGCAGGAATGGGATTACGGGACAGTTAAGCACTTCAGGATTGTCATGTATTAGAAGATGGGGTCCGCAAGGAGAGATTTCAAAGGTGTGTTAACCTAGATGCACAGAAACAATGGGCAAATCTTGCTTAAGACAAAAATAAGCCTGCCCAGTTAGGAATTTATGATCAGATCCCCCTGTGAGGCTACTTTCCATAGAACCCTCTTTTCTTCCACATGTTCCTGTTCAACTAGCCCTCAGTTGATTCCTAGGGATCATTTTTTGGTGAGCCCACCTGGGTCAGAAATAACAGTCGTTATATTAGTTATATAGGTACATAATATTCAGGAAAGAGGGTTTGGGGCCAGCTACAGATTTTCACAGGAATTGGTTGGCGGACGTGAACTCTCTTCACATCAATCACCCAGTAGGGAAAAGTTGGCGCTGTGAAGCAGTCGCAGACAGGTGGATCTTTGGCGGAAGGTGTCATGGCCACCTGCATTATGGATGCCCTGGCACGATTGCCTGGCACTGCGCCAGGCGCTGGGGATGGAGCGGGAAGGACCAAGACGGACAAGTCCGACTGAGAAGGTCCAACCCAACTCCGAGTAGGGCAAAAGGGGACCCGCGGGGTTAACGCTTCTTGACGAACTGCCGGGAAGCACGCGTGACAGTTCACTTCTGTCTCATTACCAGGAGGTGTCTTCACCGCATACTCCAGTTCCCTATGGAGACTGACCTTTAGTCAACTCATGGCCTGCCTGATGTTTTCTGCTCAGTCACTCTGTCCCCGAGGCCTCTGTGGAGGCGGAACTACTGTGTCAGGGGTCGAGTTTTCTGGGAAAAGTCGTGGTCGGATTGACAAGAGGGCGGGCAGTAGGCGGGACTTCCGGCCCGCTATTCAGTCAGCTGCTTTTCCCGGGCGTCTCCCCGCAACCTCCTAAACTTCCCTTGTCCGTGACGCTGCGCCCAGAAGAGATCCGACGGGACGGGGGTCGGGATAACGTGAGCTGCAGGTGAGGACCCGGTGTTTGTGCATATCCTTGCGGGGCTGAGACGAGAAACTGGGGGGCTGAGACCGCGAGGAGACTGACTGAAAGAAGAGTGGGTCAGTGACAGCGAGGGCAGTGTGAGGCAGGGGCTACGAGCCTGCTGTAACCCAGGGGCAGTGACAGCCAGGGGTCTGTGACCGAGATGAAGCTGCCTGCCAGGGGTCTGCGACCCAGGAGCCGTGAATGCACAGGGACTCTGACCTCGGAGAGAGGCAGAGGTTGCCAAGGAACTATGACCGAGGAAGTATGAGGCAGTGACTGTGAGGGGACTGTGACCAGGGGCCAGTGACTCGGAGGAGACTCCGATCGATGAATAGTGACTGCGAGGAGACTCTGACCTAAGGGAACATGAAGCAGCGGCCGTGGAGAGACTCTGACCGACTAGCAGTAACTTGCAGCGGCTGACTTGGAGAAGAGTGTGGGACGAGTGACTGGATATGGTCTGTAGGGCTATGTTTGGGCACGGGGTGTGATTGAGTGGCCAGTGACTGGGCAGAGAAAGTTTAGTGGAAAGAACAACGGAACGGGACTTATTATGCAGACCTAAATTTAATTTTATGGACAAACTTGTGGTTGGTAAACTTAACCACTGAACTGCAGCTTCTTCCTCAGTGAATGGGAAGTTTGGACTAGAGAGTATAATGTTTCCTGAACTATGGCTTCCATCCTATTATTGGGTTGTGAAATCCATTTAGTGGATGACACCTGAATGTTTTTAAAAAATTGAATAGAATAGAAATTTTCAGTGTGTTCACATAGTAGGCATTGTTTCATGAAACTTGTTTCGGTTATATGTGTGTGAGATTATTATGTAAAATGGATTTTATATATATTACAATATGTGAAATAAAATGTAAAAAAGATTATTACTAGATTATTTCTGAATTTTCTTTCAGATTATTTCTGAATTTTCTTTCAGGTCTAAAATGCCATGATTTTATGATTAGGGGGCTGTTAAGATCTATAGCTGAGGCACAGGCTCTATCAGCTAAACTTAACTGGAGAAGGCTTCCCAAATAGAACTGAAGTGACTAGTTATGACTGAGAACTGAAACTGAAGATCTCAGTTGGGAGAACCAGAACTTATATATTGAAGTGGGGACAGTGATATTTATAGAGACAGTGAGGATGCAGGGGTTTATGATAGGAAAAACTGCTAGGAGTAGACATTGAGGGAGGGGAAGCTTTAGGGAGGTTAGGAACAAGGCTTAGGAAGAGAACAGAAGATAGAAACAGAAAACATTCTGCCAAGAATAAAATGGGAGTAGGGAGAAATGACCTTCAGGGTCTTTTTTGATATTTAGTGATTCTGCAAGTACAGAGAATTGCTATTAAAAAAATATTGGGAATGGGATTTGGTGCAGTAGTCAGTGGTAAACAGATGATGACCATCATGGACAAGAAAGGATGACTCTGGGAAGGTCAACAACGGTGAATAGAATGCCACATGAGAGAGGCTTTAATGTATTTAGCTATTCAGCTCAATGATTTGTGCATTGGAGGCTAAGACTTGGCCTACTGGGTATGATACTATATTGTGGGTAATTAAAATGATGTTTTAGCTGCTGATTTTATCTCCTACTGATTCCCTTTTCATGAGGGCTATTAGTGATGCAGATGAAATGAATTAAAGTGAGTTTCACTACCTCCTCTTCTCCTACAGCCCTTTGTAGAAGGTACTACTGATTGTGCCACCCAATAGTTTTTTTGTTGGTTTCTTATTTAAATTAAATGGGGAGACATTGGTTAATAAAATTATATAGGTTTCAAATGTACAATTTATAATACATCATCTATATATTGCATTGTGTGCTAACCACCCAAAGTCAAATCTCCTTCCATCACCATATATTTGACCCCTTTTATCCTCTTCTCCCTCCCTCTCCCCCCTTGAAATCACATGCTTCTCGACTTTTTCTGTCTGACTTATTTCGATTAGTATGATATCAACATCCGTCCATGTTGTTGCAAGTGGCAGCATTTCATTTTTTCTTATGGCTGAGTAATATTCCACCCAATTTAAAAAAATTGTCTAACAGAAGTTGAGATAATTTTAACTTATTAGACACTGTATTTATCTGATAACCTAATAGCCCCACCACCTGTACACATATACATTTTGTGATAGGGAAGAGACTTCAGAAAGATTATTGAATGGGAATAAGTTGGGAATGATGCATAGCCTTTGTTTAGCGAAAAAATGGCTAAAAAATGGCTAGTTACCCTTATTCTAGGACTTAGATGTTTATGTGGCTTACATTCCACATAACTAAAAGGAACTACTGAAGAATTTCTTTCTAGAACAGAATATATGCTTCAAGGTAACAGACCGCAGAAGAGAAAACATTTAGGCTTGGGGACTGCAGCACTGCCTTTGGGGTCTTTTGTGTTTGCTGAATAAAATGATTCTTTTTGACCTACCCTGCTTTGCAAATTACCTTTGAAAACCAATATAATGGCCTGATTGATAAAGAATGAACTTATTCCTTCCTCAGCTTACGCTTTTCCTCCCATAAACAGGTGAGGTTTTATTTTTTGGGGGGACCTCCTCTTTGAATATTTGATCCCTAAAGGAGAATGATCTAGTCAGATAGAGCCTTGGATTCAGAAGTCCTGGGTTATTTTATCTGATATTGACATTGACTTACTCTGTGACTATGGGAAGAATTATTGCTTTCTATTGTTTTAAATTTTTTTTAACAATGGCAGAGGTAACTACTTCTGGTAAACAACCCTTTAATAATCTGAAATATAACAATCACCAAATTTTGTATACAAGCTCATGGAATGTGTAAACCACATGATTCCCCTGTGGAGCTGTCTGTCTAACCTCTCTAGGTTAGACATGATTCCCTTAGGGAGTTGAATAACCTCTCCATCTTATAAATGCTGATAAAAATTAATTTATGAAATATTCATAGAAAAAGCAAGCATAATAATTTGCTATTGTTATTGCATAACCCTGATCTGAAGTCAGATATCTGGCTTTTCTACTAACAAGTATTCCCCCTTCTGAATCAAACAGAAATAATCTCTCTTACACCAACATTTACATTTATGTTACCCTAAAATAGATTGGAAAGAATAGATCTTTCTAAAAGTCATGACTTTTGGGGGAATTTTTTCAGTTAGAGAAACCTGAAACTCAGAGTACGTGCTAATCATTGTTGGACTGTGAGAGTTCCTTTTTGCTCAAGATTGTGTCTACTTACGTCTTTTATCACCACATCAGTCACATTAGAAAAACAATATGACTTCAGGAGAGAAGGAGATCAGGGCTCTAGGCTCAACCCTTCTGCTTATCTGCTCAGAGGGTGACTTCCAGCACCCCTCTTTCCTAAGCTTAAACCTTTCTGTTTCTAGTCCTAAACTCTTTTCACAATATTCCTGTCAAATGGGTACCTGGACACGTGTTTGAAGTTTGATTTGTTTTGTTAATTGCTTTATGAATGTTTGTGGCAAAGTTTAAATCCTAAGTCCCTTCTATAATTCAGTGAGTAAATTCAGGAAATACAAATTTTTACATTATCTGTTTTGCAGTATATGCCAGCGCTCCACTCCAGAAGAAAAAAAGAAACCATTTGTGAGTTTCCAAAATATATTTGACACTGTGTAAGCTTACTTTACATACATTATCTCATTAATATAAATAATTGAATTGCCCATATTTTACTGTTCACAAACCATATTAGTAGATAGAAATATAGCAGGCTTTTTTTTGGGGGGGGCGGGGAGGAGGTCTTTTTTTCTCTTTTTCTTTTGGTAACTCTCTTGTTGAAAGTTATATTAGTTTGAAGCTTTTAATATGTGAACTACAATGACTACCAGGAACCCATTGTCTGCTAGGCTGTTACATCACATTCACTACTATTTGCAAACTAGTTTTGAAGTGAGAGCTGCTAAAAATAGTGACATATGGTCTTTGCTGTATGCTAGAGAACAAAATGAGTGTATGGCACTTAAGAAAATAAGTAGTTTTTTTTTTTTAAGTTTACAGAGAATTACCTTATGTGATTATATTTGTTTATTTTTTTGGTCCTAGAACAGAAGTCTTAATTTTCTTTGTGTCATGAAAGTATGGTGAAACCTTGTGAACTCTCTTTTTGAAATAGTATTTCTATATGCAAAATATAAAATACATGGAATTGTAAAAGAAGCAGCTTATATTGAAATACAGTTATCAAAATATTTTGAGGTGTGATATTGCACTATATGTGCTTTTTATTAATATAGTAAATAATGTTTGCTACTAGTGAGTCTTATAACTATAATAATTTTTAAATGATCATATATTAAAACAAGATATCTATAAGAAGTGTAATATATGAAAATATATGATTTCTGTCAGTGAGAAAGTTTACTATTCTAAATCTATTACTGTTGCAACTTATGTTCATAATTAAAGGAAGTGGTGAATTTGCCAAGGTTAGTAAAAGTAAAGATATAACATTTTTGTCCAAATCCCAGACTCCCTGAATCTATCATAGACCTTGCCTTAGACATATAAGTTCCATAACCCTCTCTAGGAAGAACACAACCTAAACACAGGGTTTACTCACTGAGTCTTTTAGTAGAACAATGGCAGAGCACGTTCAACTCTAAGAACTATCACAAGTCTCCCTTGTGGTTTTTAAGATAATTTCTTTCCTGAAATATTCTACTGTGTGGCCAGGCCCAAGTATAAGTTTTATTTGGTTCCAGGGCTAACCGAGAGTCTGGCACAGAGTAAGTGCCTACTCAGTGTTTGTTGAATAGGGTTTTTTTCTGAAGAAATTAGAGGGAAGAGATCAAGTTCAAAGCTAAAATCTTAGATGTGGCAATTTACTGGCCTCAAGCATTGAAGAGTAACACTGAGCTCTGCTTTGAAAGTAACAGTGCTGGTCATGTTGTGAAATTTACCTTTACATTTAGAATTTCTCAAATCAGACTTTTTTTTTTTTACTTAATTCTATGTATTGTGGTGACATAAGGATAGTGACATAAACTGAAGTAATCCTGTATCAGAAAGTTATGGTACAATTTCTTGAAATAATCCTATTCCTAGAAGTGACCTCCACTTTAGAACTGTTTGCATAATCTAGGTGGAATTTGCTATGAAATTATTGATAAACCTAGTGCTGTCTTCATCTAGGTTAGGACTTGGCAAACTTTTTCAGTAAAAGGCCAGATAGTAAATATTAGGCTTTGCAGATTATACGGTTTCTGTTGCAACTACTCTGCAGTTGTAGCACAAAAGCAGCCATAGACAATACATACATCAATTAATGAACATGGCTATGTTTCACTTAAACTTTAATTACAAAACAGGCAGTGGGCCTTTTTGGCACGTGAGCTGTAGTTTGCTGACCTCTGATCTAGGATGTCTGATGGTTCTTGAATCCAGTCCCTCCTCCTCACTATGGGTTAGACATATCCTACCTTCAAGCTTCAAGGTTCAAAGGGCTTTACACGGGTGATGTGACCGCACTGTTATCTGTGGAAAGGCCTAAATGTACCACAGATGACATGATTAACACCAAGAGTATTGGATGCACTTTAACCTTGCTTGTTAGAATGCCACTTTTTTTTTTAAGGTTTTATTGGGAAATTGGGGAAGGGAACAGCATTGGGGAATCAGGGAAGGGAAACAGACAAGTTGCTGTCCTTTTGTTCTTCAGTCTAGTTGTGGAGGACATCACTTCAACTGGCCCATGTTGGTATTATCATTGAGCTCTTCCCGGGTGAGGCAGATCGGTCGTCGGCCTCTGGACGGCTGCTCATGGCGGCTCTTGGCAGCTCACACCGGCTACCAAGCTCATGCTGGCTGCTGGCCACACACGGTAGCTTATAGCAGCCTACAGCATCGCTGGCGACTCATGGCAGCCCAGCTCCAGGTTGAGCTGTTGTTCACCGTCTTAGCTGTAGAGGGCAGTGTCACTGGCCCTCATATGTGGGATCCGAACTAGGGCCCTGCTGCTCAGAGCTGGCGTTCCAAGCCAACTCTTAACCAACGTGCCACTCTGCCGGCCCAGAACGCCACTTTATTAAGCTTTAAAATGGTAGAAGCAGGTAAAGATCCCAAATATGAAATGTGCTTACTCACTCAGTTTTGGAAGTGAGCATTGGTATGCTAGTAGAAAATTACTGAGCATAAGGTTTTACTGAGGAAGATAATGTAGGCCCAGAAATGGGGGAAGCAGGAATAGAATGCAAAGAGAAAATTTGTTTCCTCTTTTTGCAGATAATTCCCTATAGTACTGAGTCAAATTTGAATTATTGGGTCGTCGGGAAAGTCATGACGTATTTTTGCATTGAAAACCGTAGAAAAATATGTCATGACTTTCCCGAGGACCCATTAGAATCTTGAAACTTGCTGAAACCTGTGTAACTTTACTAACAATTGCCACCCCAATAAACTTTAATTAAAAAAAAAAGAATTTTGAAACTTGAAGAATATGTGTGATTGCAACTTGCTAGTATTTATGTTGTTGCATAGCTTAAGATGCAGAGTCCACTTCCCCTTTTACCCTGGGGTGCTTTTACCCTGGGGTGCATACTAGATCTACTAACAATAAGAAAGCAGAACAAAGAGGACTGAGTGGGAGTCCCTAAAATTGCACTTGTAAGAGACTTTCATGTTTAGAACTCAAGCATGTGCATGCCATGCTAGTGCCCAGAATTTGTCTCCTTCAGGACATTCATTTTGGAAAAATACTTAACTGGATTTATCCTCAGTATCTTCTCACCACTCCCCACCTCCGTCCAATTCCACAGCGCCCCCCCCCCCAACACACACACATCTCCAACTTAGCCTCTGTACTTCCTTAGTAGCAAAGTTGATGCATCCAAGTAGGCATCTGTTGGAACATTGAAGAACAAAGCAAGCAGTGTGTACTGGGAGGTGAGTCAGCAGAAGTGGAGGCAGATTTTGTGAATCTGAGTAAAAAATCACGGGCACAATACTACATTCTGTATCTTGAAAGCAATTTGGAGACTCTAATGCACTTAACAGGCAGGGTGGTAGTTGGTGGTGGTGTGGGCAGTTATGTCCATATTTAGAATCTGGTTGAACCGGGAGTTTGAGTGATTAAGATGCGGTGACTGACTAGGGACTAAATAGGTAGCAATGTTGGAAAGATAAGCCTTACAAAGGCTGTGTTCTGGCTGCCAGCTTCCTTGTCTCTCTTTTGCTGTAGCTTCTCTTGATAAACATTTTTGGAGGATAAACCACTGAAAAAACAGGAAGTTTTGGCCCACCCTAATGAACTCTTGAGGGAGGCTCTGTATTCTATCTCTAAGGACTTCCATTCTGACTCATTCCAGTTTAATTAATGTGGGTGCTATGGCTGGAAGCCAGGATCCATCTACAAAATATTAGGCAATTCCCCACTTCTCATTCCCATTTTGATTTTGTACTGTATTGGCTTTGAGGAGGTGCCATCTTTTCCGAACCCCATTGCCTATTACACAAACTGATATTAAGCCAGCCTGTGTGTTGTGTGTATTTTTTCCCCTTTTAAATGTAGATATTTAAAGGCACCTCCATTTTCAGGGTTACCACTGCACCTTTACTTGAATGGTGTTTGTTGATTACAAAGGTGCAGTTATCATAAACAGAGAGTTTGGGAAGTACTCATTCTCATTGTTGGAGGTATTCAGTGGTTACTGAGCAATTGTGAATGCTGTAAAGATAGTGTGGTTGTAGGTACAGCTAAGTTTCAATATAATGAACTAAAAAGCCAACATGTATTTACTATCCTCAGTATGCTTTCTTCCTCCCATCACCTTTTCTCAACCGCAAAGTTGATGTGTCCCAGCAGGCATCTAATAGAACTTTAGGGAAACTGGGGGTAATTTTTTCATCATTTTAGGCACCAAGTATTAAATTATTGTATATGCTTTTGTGGCGCATAAGCTAGTAGATGTGAGGGAACATGGGGGTGGTCTAAGAGAGTCAGTGAAAAATGAAAAAATTTGAGAAACATAAAGTCAAAGTTTTAAAATTATTAGTAGTTCTAGAGGAAATGTGAGGGTTAATTTTTATAATTTCTAAATTCTTTTAGGGTTAATATTAATTAAGGAGTGTCCGTGACCTTGGTGTTTTACATCTCTAAATAAAGAGTATAAGATACAGAAATGTTTTACATTAAAAACCAAAAAAATATTAGGTATGTTTCTTCTAAATCCAAAGGATCTTAAGACTTCAATTTAAGTCTAATGTGTAATGTTCACTTTAAAGTATAATGTAAAATATAATGTAAGACACAAAAGTCATCTTTAGAAAATGGAAGAACTGTATGTAAGCAGATAAAGAATTGTGCAAGCAGATAAGGAAAAATACTTTTCACAGTATGGGAGCTTTATTGCGTCATCTTTGATACACTTATAAATTTACAAACACTTGACCCCTTTCCATCAAAACAAAACAGTAATGTATGTAGTGCTTTTGAAAATTTCAGAGTGGTTTTCTATATGAACTACACTTATTCAAATAGTTACTCAGCGTCCACTGTGTGCCAGGGATCATTGCTATGTGTTGGATGCATCAATTATAATTGTGTGGTTCCAAGTGATAAGAACAGCTCAGCTGACTTCAGCAAAAAG